TGCGCCGCGCCAAGCCCCATGAACCGCCACTTGTGCGCACGTGTTCATGCTACCACCATCGAATGGAGCCGCCCCATCTTACTCCGCTCGCTCTCGCTCAGGTGCCCTCTCTACGACATGACCACGGCTAGAGCTCCACCTTTTTCGCCCTCCAATTCGCCTAACTCAGTGCTTCACAGTTCGATTCCTCATGCCAGTAAGTGGCATAAGAAGTCAACTAGGTGCCCCATCTTCCCCATGACCGGCCAAGCGCTACCGACCGCCAATTTAGCGTTTCGCTCGTTGCCGGTCAAAACATCGTCGTGCCGAGAGGTTTGGGGGTAAGGCTCGTAGGGTTAATAGCAGTTCAATTGCTCGTAACCCCGAATTCACCTTGACTCCCTCCATCCGGTGCTCGCACTATTTTAGCCAGGGTGCTCATCGACGGTGGGATGACGCGTCGATGTCCATCATGGAGCGCCGCGCCCGTTCGATCGCATGTGGCCAACTCTGCTCGGTCGGCCGCTGACTGGACCATCACCTCAGACGAGTTTGTTGTAAGCTCCTTATGCTTACCCGCTCACTTGTTAGTCTTCTAGCAGCTCTAGATCGTCGGAACAGTCATGCCGCCGCTGCGGATAGCCGCTCGCCACTGCAGTTCACACCAGTGCGCCACCGAGTCCCTAACCGCCACCCATCCTTGCGCGTTTAGCCGTAGATGGTGGTCGGCCCCTTACTTCCATCGTAGCGAGCCTAGTTTGCCCGACGTAACCGTCGTTGCTGCCGATGTGCCGCGCCACCGCGCGCGGGTACACCGAGGACCTCCCTGTTGCAAAGGCAACACATTCTAGGGTCTTTAATGCAAAGTGTGAGTCTGTAGTAATAGTGCTCCATTGCTCCGTGTGATTATCAAAAAACCTGAGCCCTCTTTTGCAAAACGCGAGTCTTGGCATGTGGCGTCCCGGCCTTGGGCGTCTTGCGCCGTCATGACGCCTTTCTGCCACCACGATTCAATATTTGGGCTCTTTGGGCCGTAATTGGTTCTTCCGGCCCTTTTCTTTTTCTAAAGCATTTTCTAATTAGTTTCTAAGGTAAACTTGCAAATTGAATAGAAATTTGTGTAGTTGACCAAAAATTATGAAATCAATTTTGTTCGGTTCCTAAAATCATGATCTATCTGCTAGTATATTTTGTTTACATGGTTTCATAGTATTTCCAAGAGTAATCTAATTAAATTGAAATAGTTAATATTGTTAAAACATCAACTTGTAAGAATTATTGTGAGAAATTGGTAGTAGTGTTGGCTTTGAGATTTTTACAGAAAAATTCAAACATTATTAGATGTTTACTCTAATTTTTGTAGCTCCATAATAATTAATTTGCTAAGATAGCTAAATGAGCCCTAGTTCGAATATATAAATTCAATCAATAAGAAGCCAAAACACATTGGGATTGTAGGACTAAAATATTTTTTTAGAAATAAAGTCTTACCTGGCGATGTGGATACGTTGCCTAGTACACTAGTCGTTAGAGCTAGCTCGTTAGACTGCGAGGTGTAATCGTGGTCTTAGAATTGTGGTTGCCGTGGGTTAATGTGCTGCATCTATGAATATCAAAATAGGAAAATGATGGATATGGAGTCGATCGGAGTAGCAGGAGGATGGTGCCTTGGTGATCGTGTCGCCATGGTGGAATGCTAATCCTTGGTTATATCTTACCCAGACAAGCCCCGGTACATAACCCATGTTATTCTCCACTTTATTTTATACTTGTGCATTAAGTTTTGAGGAGTTGAATAAAACCTATTTGAATATATATATCCTTATCCTATGAGTCATACTAGTATGTCAGGATCATGTAGATTGCTATGATATAGGATCCGGTAGAAGTCGAGTGATTACCTGTCACTCGCGAGAGATAGGAAATATATTATTGCTGTTATTATATTACTATCACATAGAATATAAATGAAGGAAAATTGGAGACCGGATGGAACGGTACTTTAGATCTGGACTTGGTTAGGCATTCGAGCGAGACTCAGATTGTATTTGTTCCGCCTGTGTCGATTGAGGACCGTCCGTTGCTGTGGATGGTAGTCAGGTTATAGACTTATTATCCTGAGCACATACTTACTTATGGGAGCGGAAAGACTTGTTACTCTCTTATCATGGGTTCCGGCTCTTTCCGGAGTGACTTTTAGGGGTGGGTATTAGGTAGAGGTCTAAGCACCATAATAAGACCGGGTATCAGGTGTTGGGGGTTTAGAATCAAAGTTTGAACGGAGACCTGGACCCTTTGACACGAGTGGAACGGGTTGGTCTTGTTTGTACCTGGGGTACAAGCGGGGCGTGTGTTTCGGGGTAGCTAGCTGGAATACATTGATTCATGAATCACCGTTTCTGTGAGACTGTACGACTGGCTATGGTCTAGCACCGTAGTAAGAACTAGAATATGAAAGATGATAAAATGGTCCTGATTACTTACTACCTGCTTGAAAGTAGCATATGTGCTTACATAGAATGGTAAGTTAATGAACTAATATTGACTGCTAATAAAATTGAATATAAGGACGCACGTTTAGTAATGCTTTCTGCAGATGCAATAATCCACAAGCTAGATAGCCTTGCATACCCTTGAAGTCTTTTATTTTTCTCCTGTCGGATAAGTCTTGCTGATTACAATCGAGTACTCAGGGTTTTATTTCCCCCTGTTGCAGGTAACCAGATGATACATAGAGCTGACTCTTGTGTGTGGAAAACTTCTGGTGGGCTCAGAAAGAATTCCTTTCGCGCTACGGTCATAATGTTTTTATACAACCTTCACTAAAGGTTTTTACAAGAAAAGATATAAAAATCTGCTAGAATCTCTTGTACATAAATGTCCACTATGTTAATACTTCACAATGTCATCAAATTAATCTTTGTTTTCGCTGTAACTCTGATCATATGTTTATTTTCGCTGCAAGATAAAACTTGTAAACTTGAAATGTATAAAATCGATTATATGTAAACTGTTTTAATCCCGCTGCTACATTTAACTTATTTAAATACTCTAATGTTGTAATAAAGTGATGTAAGAAATAGTTAAAATGTTGTAAGCTTTATTCCCTCATTTATGATTCTGACGGAAAAATTTAAGATCTTTTTCTGATGGAAATTTGTGGATTTTAGATACTTAGAGTCTAATAAAAAACAAATATTTTAAGAGGATATTGATTAGACCGCGGGATGCGAGCGTCAAGTCCACCACCCATCTGCCGTCCCTCGTGGAGGCCCTCGTCAACACCACCCTCCTCTCGGACGCGTCCGTGACGGCGATGCAGCGCGTGCGCGTCCAGATCTCGCGGGTCTCCGTGGCACCAAGGGGCAGCGGCCACGCCTACGTCCACCTCGTCCTCATCGACACCTGGCTCACCTCATGGCGCTCATACTCGCCGGCGTCGTCTTCGCCACCGGGGGAGCGCCGCGCTTCCACCTCTTCAGCAACAACGTCTCGGTCGCCGTTCCCGCAGACCTTCCCGCGCGCCTGGTCTGCTACCGCGGCGTTTGCTCCGCCGCCTAAGACATCGACAACCTGGCCACCTTCGCCCGAAACCACGGCGCGCACGGAGACCCCACCGTTGTCATCGCCTTCAACCTCGGCCCACACACCGCCGTCCCCGAGCGCGCCTACATCATCTACGCCGTCGAGTCCTTCCGTTTCAGTCCAGTCGAGTGCGCACTCCGCGCCGTCCCGCTCGGTGGCTATGACGCCTCCCTCGACGATGACCCGTAGTCCGGCTCCGCCTTCCTCGACGCGCCGTTCGACCGAGCCGTCGGTCGTGTCAGCGGCTGCTTCCACCCGTCCCTCCTCCACGCTGGTGCGGGCCCGTCCTCTACTGCCTGGAGGTGGCCCTGTACCAGTACGCGCTCAGGCCCGACGACGAGGACCCAGTGGAGACCATGGGCTTGGAGTCCGCGGCGCGCGTCGAGCACTTGGACTTCCTGTGTCGCGTGGTGTTCTGCGTCGCCTCCAGCAAGCATCCCCTCGTCCTCCGTTTCAGAATCATGCTGCTAGCTCTCGTCACGGGTCAGTACACGCTCGAGCTCGTCAAGGCTTCCGACATCATGCTGGAGTTTCTGGCGAACGGTCTGCTGGACGCTGACGGATGGACATGGCGAGCTGAACAAGGACGCGTCATTGTCATCCTGCTGTACACGCTCGCCATGGTGCACAAGCTCGTTCCAGAAGCTCACGAAGGGAATGGAGGAGCGATACGTCGAGAACGCGGTTCAGGAGGTTGCATTCCGCCAGGAGGTGCCCGCTCGTCAACAGCATGGAAGATCACTGCCACGGCTCGAGGGCAAGCCCAGCACAGCCTGGCGGTGGTGTCTACAAAAGGGGGAATCCGTGGAGGCCAAGGCATCATCAACCAAATTATCAACAATTACTTTTACCTTTAGTTACTGTTCATCTGCTACTTGAATCAAGTATCCGTGGGCAATCTTGGTTGCTAACACAGCAGCCAGCAAAAAGCCGCGCGCGCATCTGTTTGTGCAAAACCGGCTTGCCCTCATCTAGCAAAATTTCGGTACCTGCTCCCTGCTTTAATCAACCAAAACCGGCAGGTAAAGCTGGGCAGTGCACGACACGGAACAAGTTGCAGCAACTGGTTAGCTAGTGGCCGGTGCACTACAGCCAGTAGATTTCCATTGCGGCGGCCGGCGCTTATCATGAATGCAACAAAAACCACGCTGCGCCTTCGCCGGTTCGGCCTGCTTCTTCATTATCCTCCACACAGGGGAATTGGCCATTTCTCGATCGAAAGAGTTGGGTGGATGAATGTCGCCATTATTAGGCATTTTACTAGCCAAATTGTTGGTTTCCTTCCCGTGTGATGCATGACAAACTAAAATCATGGTGAAGGACCAATTCGTGGCGGAAAAAAAAACAAGCCCCCAATTGCTAAAAGCACATATGGAAATTGATGAAGGCGATTGAACGCAGCGGCGTAATTAACTGTGGTATGGTATCTGACTCACCGTTGTCCACCACGAGGTTGGAGAAGAAGCCGACCGGCGAGCTGCTGTGCCGCGCCAGCATGTCCATGGACCCATCGGTGGTCTGCCTATCATGGCGACGGTGTCCGTCGTCGTGCTCGTGCCCCAGCGAGACGTCGCCTCCTCGGTACCGCAGGCCCGCCGCCACCCTCTGGCCCGCAAGCCCGCCTTGCTGCTGGTGGTGACCGCCCGACGAGGAGGAGGAGGACGGCTCCCCACCGCCGCCGCCGACCTGCAAGAAGCGCCTCATGATGGTGACAACAACCCCTACCTCTCTCTATCTCTCCGGGATAAGTCGTCCCGGCGGCCGGCCGTGTGCACGAACTTGGGCTAGCTGGGAGGGTAGCAGTGCAGGCGCCCCCGCGTGAAAAGGGTCCGCCCGCCGGGAATTGAAGGGAAGGGGAGAGGGAGGTCGTCAGCTGAGCGAGGGAGGAGAGGACGACGACGAGGCACGTGCGCGCGCGGTGGCTGGGAGGGACGTGGGTTTTGGCAGATGAACGCGTGCGTTCACGCGTAAAACTACGGCAACTGGGGTGGTGCCGTGGCGGTGGACTGGTGGTGCTGCGGCTGCTGCAAGTGGGCGTGGTGGGCTTAGGGCGTCCCCAACGGTGTCCAGCTCAGCAAGCTAGGAGGAGCACCAGACCAATCAGGAGGAGAGAGAGACAGAAAATCCACAGCACTAGCGAGGGAGGAATCGCTTAGCTCGCACGTTTCTCGAGAGTTTTCAAGTCTCTGATACACCTCACCACTATCTGACTTTTTATTTTTTAATTGTTATTAGGCTATATACGTTAACCGGCGATTTACCAAGACCGTTGAGCAGCCAGGCAGGCGGGCGCCGTGATTGGTTCTCGGGGCGTGTGGCGGGGTGCCGCGGGGGGACCGCCCGGCCCGGCGCCCGCGCGCCCTGGACAGGACTAGCTAGGGTACCTAGGGTAGGTGCTCACGCTGCCAACCGCAAGTGGAAAGACCGGGACCGGGGCACGGGCATCTCTTCGCTCTTCGGGGCCGGCCGGCCGACCTGATCCGCTCGCTAGTCAGCTCTCGCTGGAATGCCTGCCCGGCCGGCTGCCCCTGCAGACGCCGCCGAGTGGATCAAAAGGTTGCCTCGCCGGCTGATGATAAGATTTCAATCACCGTAGGCACACATGGTCTCCTGCGCAGCCATGTTTTGCATCAGTGGATCCCCACGCCGCGCACATGGTCACCCTACGCCGCCACGCTGGGTCGGTCGGGCCACTGGGCTTGGCCAAGGCCGGCCGCAGCGAGCCGTTGGCCCCACGCCCTGCTGCCATGCCTCGTGCTGCCGCCATTGGTGCCACCACGGCCGCGCTGCTCTGCCGTCGCATCCGCCCACTGTTGCCTCGCATCGCGACGCTGCCACTGTCGTCATGTCACTCCCGTACTCGCGTCTACTGCATGCCCCCTTCCTAGCCCGGTTGAGTGCCGTCCGCGCCATTAAGGCCTAGTCCGCCTCATCGTGGCCAGCTCCAACCTCGCCATCGTGGAGAGGTCCTTCTATGGCGTCCCGGCTCATGCAACCGCCGCCCATCGCCTCGCGTCGACCCTCTTGGTGAGATTCGGCCTCTTAGCTAGGTTAGCATAGGTCCCGGGTGGCCGGCGCTGTCGCCAGTGCCATCGCTCGCCCCGCTGGAGCGCGCGGGGGAGGCCAGGGACCATGCCGTTGTAAAGAGGAGAGAGTACAAGGGTCTTTTTGCTTAGGTGTTGTCTTTAGGAATAGTAACATGGACTACGGGTTGTTTTGTTCATAGTCCAGGGACTTTTCTGCATGAGCGTCAGCGCGCCTGCGGGCTCCCCGCGTAGGCCGTCTTCGCGCGGGGGCCAAGCCCGAGTATGGCCGCGTTGGGCTGTTTTGGTCTTTTTTTTTTTCTAGCTGAATTTGTAAAGCTTTTCTATTTTAATTCTAAGTTAGATTTGTATATTTAATATAAATTCATACGAATGTCCAAAAATCATGAAACAAATTTTGTTAAGTTTCTAAAATTGTGCTCTATCTGTTAGTATACTTAGTTCATTTATATGCATGTTGATACTAGGAGCTATTAAATCACTTGAAAATGTTTAATATTGTTAGGAGAATTATTGTAGAAATTTTTATGCGGTAAATTGGTGATAGGTTTAGCCCTAACAATTTTATAGCAGCATCGTGGTATTATTATGTGCTCACTGTAATTTTTGTAGCTTTAGAATAGACTAAGCATAGAGGTAGTTAAATGCTCTTTGTTTCAAATATACATTAAATTATTAGTAGAAATAAAGATATATCCTTCATTTGTAAAGTTAGGTGTTTGTTAGTTGAATTCAATACTTTGCTTGGTAAAAATGATAGGTAGTTAGTATCTTAACCATTAGAGCTAGCTTAGTGGCTTAGTAGATGTATTCTTATCTTAAGAATTGTTGTTGCCTTAATATTAAGGGTTGCATAGTCATTGCATGCATGTAGAGAACGAGTTGGTGGAGTTCGTGAGTGTCGGAGAGCAGGAGGACAAGGAGGTGATTGAGTAGTATGAGGAGGAGATTCTCATACGGGAGGAAGCCTCGGAGCCACCGACGACTGACTTAGCTGACACCCACGCCTTCCCAAGGCAAGCCCTAGTGCATAACCCTTATTTTGAATGATCACTGGATATATATGTGATGTGCATTTATGTTATAGGATTTATATTGAAACTACATGCATAGATAACCTACATTTGAGTCCTACTAGCATAGCTCGAGTAGCTGCTATGCTTGGGCTATCGGTAGCATGAGTAACTTGCCGTTACTCATAATAGGTGATTATTATTATTACTCTCATGATAAAATGGTGAAAAAATAGAGACCAGACAGAGATATGTAATGGGTATTGGTGGGTGTAATAGGTTGTGTCTCACGACCAACGGGGCATAGCTTGGTTACGCTATTTTTCCTGTCCGGTCGGTTAAGGACCATCTGTTGCTATGGATTCTAGTCAGGTCACAGATATTATCTTGAGCACATACTTGCTTATGGGAGCGGGAAGACTCATTGCTCTCTTGTCGTGGGTCCCAGCTCTTTCCGGACCGACTAATTGGAGGTGGGGATGGACTAAGTATTGTAAACTCGTTCTCATTATTGGATTCTAGGTGAAAAACGTGGATTGTTTGAGCTCTCCCTTGGGGTGTGCTCGACGGAACTATTCGATGTAGCTAATTTTTGGGGTGCTTAGTGTCTAGTGGAAGACGAGCGCCTCCGAAAGTGTGTTATTTTGGACGGTTCTGCCATAGGTGGTATCAAAGCTAATTTTGAGTTACGAGTTTCATAATTCTTTTTAAAACCTAAAATTTGACTAACAAAAGTTTTACGAAAAGTTGGATGCGATAAAATTATGTAAATAAGTATAAGCCCTAGCAATATGGTCTATCTAGGATAGCGGCACTGGTTTTATCTAATCAATTTTTTATAGGTACACTAACTTACGCTGCGTAAGAATCGTTTAGTAAGCGGGAAGTGAGTGTGCGATGTGCCGATTTTTTTTGCAAATGCGGCTATATTGCGGCTTGAGTGAACGGGTAGGACGATGCATGCATCATGAAAAGAGAATCTTGCTTAAACTAAACTTTCTCCACACGTATAATTTGGATTAGTGAATTGATAGGATAACCTAAAAGAATGCTTTAATAAAAGTCTTATCATTTCTCTAAGTCTCTTGTTCCTAATCTGGAGGGTTGTCCCTAATGGTTGGTTCTTATCTGTTTATAGATGAACCTAAGGTCTAGTCGGGGGAGTACCAGCACTGGGGCAGACCAGGGTGATAACGGTCGTGGTGAGGACAATGGCAACACCAATGGAGACAGCCATGAGGCCTCACTTCGGTCTCCTCCTCCTCTGCCACCACCACCTCCGATGACCTATGCGGAGATGATGGTGGAGATGCTGGCTGCTCGACGCGAGTCAGCCCATGCCTTTGAGATGCTTGTCTAGGCTATTGGTGGCTTCGCCCGTGGAGGCCCTGGTGGCAACGGTAGGAACGGGGGTGGTACTTGCGCTCCCTTGAAGCCCTATTCCTACTAGGACTTCCTGAAGACACACCCACCCACGTTCATGCTAACTGCTGAGCCTCTGGATGCGGAGCATTGGCTTTGTATTCTAGAGCAGAAGTTTTAGTTGCTCACTGTGACTGAAGAGCAGAAGGTGCGCTTTCCTGCACAGCAACTTCTGGGGTCAGCCAGTGCGTGGTGGGATACTTTCAATGCCATGCAGCCGGTGGACCACCGTGTGACTTGGTAGGAGTTTACCACTGCTTTTCATGAGTACTATATTCCCGCTGGTTTGCTCAACATGAAGTTGACTGAGTTCCTGAAGCAAGGGAGTATGACTGTGATGGATTATGTGAACAAGTTCAACCATCTTGTATAGTATGCTGGGATCTATGTAGACACTAATGAGAAGAGGAGGGACCATTTCTACCGTGGCCTCTCTTGCATCTTGCAAAAGGAGCTATACACTGGGGGATATCAGACTTTTGGTGCTTTGATGAATGCAGCCATTGCTATGGAGGGACTTCAGCGTGATTCTCAAGCGGAGTAAAAGCACAAGCGGGTGATCACTGGATCTTCTCATCACCCATAGGCTTAGAAGGTGTAGGTTGTTAGGAGGATGTCCTATCACTCTCCGGGTGGATAGCCGTCCCGTCAGACTCCAGTGGACTCACCAGGCACCTCCCACCCAGTATCGTGCACCTACTCAGTAGGTGCAACAGAAGCCTTAGGGACAGCAAGTTTCGCCTCGTCAGGGATAGGGGAACAAGCCAGGTGTTTGTTTCAAGTGTGGCAAGGAGGGCCACTATGCTCGGGAGTGTCCACAAAACCAGCCTATGCAGTCTTCCCAGCTTTCAACCAACCCCCGTCTGGTCAAGAGGATGATTATCAAGAAGAAGGTGCTCGTAAGCCGCTCTAGACAAGTCAACTTCACTGAGGTTGAGGAGATTTTGTAGAATGAACCTATCATGGCTGGTATGTTTATCATTAATTCCCGCCCAGCATATGTATTGTTTGATTCTGGTGCATCACATTCATTCATGAGCATGGGGTTTGCACAGAGGCACAATATATCTCTTATGGCTATTCCTATTGCCTATAGAATCAATACTCCGGTGCACAATTATGCGTTAATACTTAGACGGACACAGTCAGATTAGTGCTAGCCACTCACACTTACCGCCTCTAGTTTATGGTGCTGTCTGGGCAAGGCATAGATGCAATTCTGGGC